CCCCAAAACCCCAAAACCCCAAAACCCCATGAATCTTAACTAAACTAAAAAATGATAAAGTATGAGCTAGATTAAAAAAATTGAATTAAATTTTTTAATGGATTCACAAAAGCCCCGATCATAGAGCAGACCTGTAGCCACGCCAAGCGACTTTTTAGATTCATCCTTCAGTAAAGATAATGGATTTCACAAGACATTTTTTAACAACCGAAAGAATAAGCAGATGTTTACAAATTTCTTAACTAGACTCGTAAAGGTTCAAAAGTCCTATCAAAATGTAAAAACAACGTAAATACTGTTGAATCAATCAGTACAAATGTAATAGCGATAATAAGTATAAACTAAAGAGTAGTAGTAATAGAAATAACAACACCTCTATAGCCCTCAAGTAATTGATATGAATAGCACTCCTCTTAGTTACAAATTATAATTCGATAAAAATTTGCTAAGTATAAATTCAGGTCATGTTTAAAGAGGGAGTGATGTAGAAAGAGTTGAAGCTGGAAGTAAACTTATACTTAAAATTCCTTAATAAACCCCCTAACCTGCTGACCTTAAAGATGATATGGGAACATTTTCTGAAATCTCCCCTCTATCTTGAGATTTTAGTGACCCCCGAACTCTTGATACTAAAACTTATGATTCTAGAAGTTCTGATTAATAAAAATCTCAATTCCTGGATCCCAAATATGCTAGTAAGAAAAAAATTAGAAACCAAACAGAAAACTTTCGCAATGAAATGATTAAAGAGAAAATGATAGTAAGAGATAAGTAAGTTAAAGTGATTTAAAAAAAGAAATTGCAAATGCTTCCTCAACTCTTTGCTAATAACAATCAAATTGATCCAATGAGTCAGCAGCTCAGAGTTAATAGTTACAATGACTCCTACAAGATCAGAGAGTAACTTCACTAATTTACAAATAAGTTTAACTCATTTGTTCCAAAGAAGATTAGTTACAATATCAACTATACTAAGTCAAATTTTTATAAGGAATTCGACTTGAGTTGTCAATAAAATAATGATGAGAAGGCTAATGATGATGTTTTGAACAATAGTAGAGATTAAGGAACTTTACTATCTAGGGGAGTTAATGTACCTATGAGTAGTGGGGGGTAAAATGTATCGAAATAGAATGATGATTACTTTGAAAATTTGAACATTGATAATAGTTAGAATTAGTTTAGGGCTCAGCGTAGAAACTAAACCTAACACTATTAAATAAGACCAAAAGTCAAATCAATAAATAACAGATAGAATCTTCTTAAATCCCCAGTCGAAGTTAGGTCTAAACAGAATCTACCACTGAATTCAGAGTAAAATGAGAATTATACTACTGATTTGGCTGTTGATGAACTCGCCCAGGAAATGGGCATCAATACTAGCCATCTAAGTTTTATGAAAAAGGATCCAAGCACGAGATATGAAATAGAACTGCAATTAGAGCATGAGACCCCTTAAGCTAACTATAAAGATCTACTAAGATAAGTAAGTTCTAAAGCTAGATAAGCCATTGAAAGCAATTCGTTCTCTTAGAGATAAAACTAGCCTAAATTTATCAAAGGAGGTAGCAGCAATTGCAATTAGGACAAGTTGATAGATTTACTAAGTGAAAAAGAACAGTAATTTTAAAAGAGGATTGGAGACACTTTTGGGATATTAAAGAGAAACAGTAAACTGTTGAAGTCGTTTGACTAGAAAACTAATCCAAATGAAATTAAGCAGCCAAAATCAAAGAATGAGACAAAGAGTTCCTAAGCTAAAATTAATATCTTAATTAACTCATCACAAGATAATACAAACAATCAATACAGTTAGAGATCAGATATATTTAGCCACGATCAAGACATATTAAATCAATCATCTTTAAGTCGGCAACTCGTGATACAATCGACAAAGAATGCTTCTAATCGAATAGGCATTAATACTTCTCATAATGATTACATATCATAGGAATTGCAAAGCCAGAATTTCACTGAGAAACGCAAACTTAACTTTGAAAAGTTCATAAAACAGTAAATTTATCTTTTTAACATTAATAGGCATTCTAAGCCAATTGTGCCGCTTGAATAAACAAGAGAGAAGACCAACAGAAGGCTGTAAAATTTGCTGAGAGCAAAGGAGCAGAGTGAATATCAGAAATCCATTAACAACAATAGTAGGTTCATGGACTCTCCAAACACATCAGTATTTAAGAACTCTGCTTTTAACAAGACCTTTGATCTGACCAGCAACAGCTAAAATCCTATGCTCGCTAAGATATCAACCTCAGGAGAAGCCATTTATGGAGGAGTAAGCAATCACAGGACATAAGACTATTAGGTGATGAATCAGTCAACTTAAAATGAGACAAGAGGCTCAAGATTCGAAAAGAGAAAGCTAATTGATAACAGCAAGACTTGGAATGCCTTGATTGAAATGCATAGAAATTGAAATGGTAGATATATTTATAGCAAATGAAATGAAACTATTAATTAAATTATATTATATAAAGTTAATGCATTAAACAATTGATTTCATTAAAGTGGACACTCAAGAAGATTAGCGGTAACACACTGAGCAATAGACCTCGCCTAGTCCTTTGCATATTCATGATTCCTAGCACCAAGCACATTACTCCCAGTTGATGGACACTCCCAAGGGCATCTTTAAACCTAATTTTGACAAGTAAGTTTAGAGAAGGAGACTCATGACTGCTGAGGTTGGTTTCCGATCTCAAAATCAGAAAAGAGGCTTGAATCAGACTACAATCCTTCAAGGCATATCCTAGCTTATTAAAACTCAGATGAATGCGAGATTGTCTCCGCTAAGAGAACTAAACCGATAGAAGAAATAGTAGGATGAACAGAATGAATTTAGGAAGAGCATGAAGAAGTACTTCAAAGATTTTTGACAATCATAGTACTTAGATTACAACAATAATACAAACCCGTCTAATGCAGGCTAGTAGTAAAATACAAGAAATAGAAGGTAAAATAGAATGACGCAGCAAATCAAACAGATGCAGGAGAATAGAAACTCGGGGGAGGAAATAGAGGGATAATCTGAGCTTGAGCAATAGAAGCAAATGCTATTCGATAAAAGATAGATGGTTAGATTAAACCAGCAATCTAGCTCACAATCATAACAGCTAAATAAGAATAACTCAATGCACTCTCGCTAGATAAAAAGCGAGAAATTCATAGTCAGGAGAAATGAGCATCAGCAAAGTGAAAGTCAGTCTCACCAAGGCAAGCAGCTAATGGGGGATTTGTTTAAAATGAAGAACTTCTATGCAAAGAGAGTACCTATGATAAATCCTATGGTCAGCAGGTATAGAAATTCGAAACTCAGACAATCAATGGATCCAAGTTTCTAAAATACTGCAGCACCTAGTCAATTAAGAGTAAATCAGATAAATTCAGAGCAGGATATTAGAGATCTTGTCTAGTCAGTGGATATGAAATCTTTCAACCCCTTTCTTTAAGTATTCCTTGATGGCAATAAGAAGATGCTCAGGAAAAACACTTAGAACTACAAAAGTGGAGTTCCAGCTAGTGGTAGTAGCTTGAGTAATGAGAAAAGGTAATCAGGTCTCTCTAAGACTAATGGGCTATACGATAAACAAGATAACTACATGAAGAGTTATTTCAATCAGAGCAGCAATCTAAATCATGAGAGAAATAATCATTATGAATTAGCTATGCAAAATAAAAACCCGAAAAGTAATAGTCATCTTGCACATAACGATATCATGATTAATGATAGAGACACGATAAGAGTCAGAAAGATCAATGAAATTCAAGCATTTCATAAACCAAGAAGGCATTACAGTCCAAGTCCATAGAGGGAATCACCTTTCAGAAATAATATCTACTCCAGGTAAGAGCATGCTAATCATTTAATCACAGAAATGACAAGCAGTGCTTAAGGGACTACATTTGACAATTCAACTTAGATGCCTCGAATGGTTGAGAGGTTCTAAAATAATAACTCCTCTGAAGCACTCATGATGGAATCAATGAACAATATCAACCGATCTCCAGAACGAGCTTCTCATCTACCAGCAACGAATAAGGACATTCCTTAAAACTTCCTATATAAGAAGAACTCAGTTTCCTAAAATAACTAATTCGCAGCGAACAGCTCTCAAATCAATAATAATAACTATCAGCAGAGATCAGCAAATCAAAACATGAGCAAGAGTCTTGAGAAGTCAACTTTCCAAAAGCAGAGATCAGAAAAGGTAAACACACGTGATTTATATGGGGTCAGGGGTGGGAGCGTTAATATGAAAACTATAGATGAGAGAAAGAAGGTGTTTCAGCAGAAGTATCACGGACTGATTGCATTCTCACTGGACAGGTAGTTGAATGATTTGAAGCAGAGAGTCAGTGGGCTTGGGACGATCACGAAGAGAGCCATAAGCAGTGGAGGAGTAGGCACTGGCTTCATATTAGTGGGAAAGAGGTCTATCAATAATAGACAGAATATCCTGAAGAAGAAATTGGAACAGGCAAGAATCGAAAATCAGTAATATGAGCAGCAGTACTCGAAGTAGTAGGAGTATTTATACTAGCAAGTTAATAAAGATTTAATAGATGATTTGGATTTGAATGGAGGCAGGAGTCCTAAGAGACTGGGAGCCAGCTTCAAGACAGTCAAGTTTAATGTATGAAAAGAGCTGCTGAGATATCTCAACGAGTGTGAACTTAAATTTATATTAAACTTAATTTATTAATTTTCAAATTATTTATATAATTCTATGAAATGGGGTTTTGGGGTTTTGGGGTTTTGGGG